TTCCGCACCTCACACTAACATCTCATCTCCATGGAGGGGTAACTTCTCGGTGTTTTGCATCACATATTTTACTAGATCTGTCGCTTTTCTCTTAAAGAAAAAAATAGTAAGGAAGAGGATGAAGTCCACTGAAAATACACTGAAAGACAATAAAGTCATGCATTTCGATCAGAGCCAGGTTTAGTCACCACCAATTTATGTTCTTGAATCCACGTTAGTAGTTGGGTTTCATGACTCAGGCCCTGCCGACTCCCAGGCCCACTGTCAAAGCCTCTCTGAGAGAGTCTGCCTGCAGCTGGCAGGGCCCACGCCTGGAGGAAGCAGCACTTCTTCTTTCCTGGCTCTGCTTTCCCAGCTGGGTCGTCCAGGCAATGCCTGGCCTCCCCAGAGGAGACCGCAGCATGTGTTCAAGACTTTGCATGTCTGGGGTGGGTCTGCAGGAGAGGAACGGTGTATGAGTGGCTCATGTGTTCAGCAGATAGACAGACCACCTGGCTCCCTGCACCAAGAACACACCTCTGCGTTCCAGTTAATGCTTCTCAACCTACAGGAGAATCATGATCTGTCCATCCCCGTCCTTTCCTCCAGGACAGGCTCCTACAGGGATCCCACATGCCGAGACATCTGGACCCCTCTGCCAGGAAGAGGCTGCATAACCAGGGCAGTGTTTGGATGGCCTATTGCTGGATAGGCCATGCAGGAGACTTCCAGAATGTCATCAAAACAAAATGTTTCTTCACAGACAGGGACAAATATCTCTTCACCATTTAGCACTTGAAGCTATAATGTTCTCTGATGGGTCTGGATGGTAATCTCATTGCTTGGGGAAAAATTAAGCTTGTTAAGGGTGGAGAGAAGTCCCTTCTCCCTCCCTGCCTCTAGCCTGTCGTACTTGTCACCCAGTGGTTGCTCAAGGACTATCTAAAAATAAAGCCGATCAGGGTGCCCAAGAGAAGAGGGTGCAGGGTCCATCACATTCTTCTACACACTAAGACTCACTTCTGCTTATGCTGTTTTCCCTGTTCTTATTTCTGTGGAAGCCTGTGCTCCAAGGAGAGCTGGATCACTCATTCATCACCAAGTATTCACTATGTCCCAGAGCTGGCCGCGGGTACCAAGGTTTTTCAAAACCTCAGAGGATTTTGTGGCTGTCGAGGCTCTTGGGTTATCTGAGGCTCAGAGAAGGAAGGTGACTTGTCCAAGATCACAAAGTGAATTGGGGCAGAGCTGAGCTACAGCGCTGAGCTCCTCCAGGGTCCCCCTGCACAAAAAATCGCATGGCCAGGGCTAGATTTGCACTTTCTCTAACCCCTCATGGGGAGCCCTCCACTCTGTGACAACCCACACCCTAGGATGGGCCTTAATCCTGTCTGTTGAACTTTGTCCTTAAGAAAATGAACGGTGAAAGTTAAAGAAAAATCATGCTCCAAATGTATTCAATTCCAGTCCCTGCCTGGAGCAGGCAGTCGGGGATGGCTTGGGGTGACTGGCCAAGTCCACTCCCAGAGGCAACCACTGGGGCCCTTGGGGTCTCCTAATTTCCTAAGTGGCTTTTTGCCATATGTATTCACTGCTTAGACATTTGGAGCGGTAGGACTTCCATAACCCTGTCTCAAAGACTGCCAACTGCCGCCGCCCTTACCGATGTCTGGTTATTGATGGGCTCCATCCAGCGCAGTAAAGGTCAGTGGGCGGCTTGGTGTTCAGGGCCCGTCTCCTCCCACAGCCGCCCCTAAGGCCCTCAGATGAGTCCAGCCTAATAAGGATACCGATCTCGGAAGGCCCCTTCCCGCTCTGCGTCTCTGCTGCCTGGCTGGTGCGAGCGGAGGTGCCCCAGCACCACTTCTGGGTCGCTTCCCTCGGAGAGGAGGCTCCGGGCAGCAGGGGCCAGGGCCCGACGGGCGGGTCCACCAGGCCCGCGCGCACCTCGCCGCCGGCCGGGCGCACCGGGCCTCGGTTGCGCAGCCACTTCCTTTTTCTGCCCTAGTGCTCGAGGCACTGAATGCCATGTAGAAGTACAGTTTTGCGTGGCGCGGCGGCGGCAGATTCGGCAATTCGGCGGCGACAGCCTCCCGGACCAGGCGGAGGGCAGGGCGAGCAGCCCGAGGGCTGAGGCCCGCGGCGTCGTGCGCGTGCGCAGAGCTGCTCCGGGGCAGCGGCCGGCGGGGCCCGAGGTCG